TCCTGGGATCATGACCTGAGCCGAAGGCAGATGCTTAACGACTGAGCCACCCAGGCGCCCCTAAATAAAATCTTCTATAAAAAAGATTTTATTTATTTATTTGAGAGAGAGCACACGTGTGCTTGCAAGCTGGGGGGGGGGCAGTGGGAGGAGCAGAGGGAAAGGGAGAAGAAGACTCCCCACTGAGCAGGGAGCCCGAGGCGGGGGCTCAATCCTAAGAACCTGAGATCATGACCTGAGCCGAAACCAAGAGTCAGACGCTTAACAGACTGAGCCATCCAGGCGCCCCAAGGCCTTACACTTTAATGAGGGGGGGACAAGAGTTGAATAACAGCCTACTGGAAGAGGTGTCTCAGGGGTATATGATTGTCAAATAAATAATACAGCCGAGCACTGTGCTAGATTTCAGGAGAGGGAGAGAGAGCTTTATGGACAGGTTCCAGGAGATGTAGCTCTTAAAGGACAGATGGGAATTGGGTAGATGGGGAGATAAGGGAGACAAGGGTTCTGGGGGTGAGTGCATTAGGGGCAGAGATGAATGAGGCACTACATTTTATTACTGAAATGGAATTAAGTGAAGTCTGATCTTTGGTTTACAGATAAGGACACCGAGGCCCAGAGAGGACAAGTAACTTGTCTGAGGCCACACAGCATGTTAGTAAACAGCTATAACCATAAATTTGCATTCCACCAAGTTGAGAGCTTCCTAAGTTTCCTACTTCACCTGTACCCACCCACAGACGGGCCCACGGCTATGCCCACCTGGTGGAGGTAGCCAGACACATGGCATTGGCCTCCCCTATGTCAGGACACTGGACAGCCTCTTCAAACCAGGCAGCAAACTGCTTCATGGGGTCCAGGGAGGTCAGCTGAGTCTCCTCAAATGCCTGGGAAAGGAGAGTTTTATTTATTAAACACATATAATTCTTACTGTGTATGTGGTACTACCCAGGAAGTAGATTCTGCTAGCTCTATTTTACGGGTGAGGACAGAGGCATAAAAACGTGGCGTAACTCGCCAGGTCCCACAGTAGTGATGGATGAATCAGAGTTTCATGTCATGAGTGTCAAACCTATCACTTGGGGAGCATTAAAAAAAAAAAAAGCCATATTCCTGGGCTCCACCCCCACAAATTCTCAGTAGGTCTGAGGTTCAGTGAAAAACTGCATGTTTAACAAGTATTTCTGGAAATGCTCACACACAACTAGATTTAGAAACTGCAACTCCGGCCTCAATTCCAAAAAAAGTTCTGTTGGTTTCTCCTCTGAGGAGGGAAAAGGAAAAGAACTTCTCCAAAAGGTAAGGGAAAGGACTGACAGCAGTGAGATCTAGGAGCTTTCTCCTCCCCTCCCTCCGTGAGTCAGTACCCCTCCCCCATGTGTTACTTATCAAATATTTAGAAGCTGATTATCACTGTTCTAAGCACTTTGCAAATACCAAAGTCCACACCATCCCTGCGAGTTAGGTACTCACTTCCCAGGTGAGGAAACTGAGGCCCAGAGAGGTTGTTATTGACCCAAGTGATGCACCCCGTGAGTGGCAGGATCCCACCCCGGGCCGCCTGCAGAGCTCGCGCTCTCACCCACTGCAACCCGCGGCCTGTCTTCATCCTGGTTTCCCCAGAGCCCTTCCTCCCCCCATTGGTTGCCTTGGCACCCCCTTCTCCTACGGGGTGACCCCAAACCCACCCCATGGGGTTCCTCCCCTCGCGGGATGACTCGGGGACCCCTCCCAGCGGGAGGCCCTGCCCCGGTGGCCTCACCTCTCGGTCCCCGCGGTAACTCTTGCGCATCGGGCCCAGGTCCATCACGCCACCGCCACCGCACAGGTGGTAGAGGTAGCGGGGCCACTCGGCAGGTCGCCCGAACGTCACGGTGACGCCTCGCAGCCTGCACGTCATGAGGCCGCCAGCCACGTGACCCGGCGGCGCCCAGCGCTGGGTTCCGTTGGGTTCGGAACCAATTTCTCAGCCCGGGAGTTTACCCGGGGGAAGGAAGAATTCGCCAGTCGCCAGGCCCCGCTAACAGGTCCTAAGTCTTCGGAGCCAATGGGAGCTCAGGGTCGGAGGAGGGAGACAGGCGCGGAGAGGCCATTGGTTGGAGCTGTCCGGCAGCGAGGCCAATTAGAGCGAGAACAGAGGAACCCAGCGGCCAATGGGCGGCGCCTCCGGGGGCGGGAGCAGAGAGACAAGGAAATGCTGTCACCGCCGTTAACACGCACGTGGAGGTTTGTTAAAGGTATAGGGACTGCAGCCGCCCAGGCGGGGGGCGGGGAATGAGTCGCTGGGGGCTTGAGGGGAGTGGTCAATGTTAAGTGGCTGGCCCCTAGCAGGTGCCTGGAGGCGAGCCTAGTGCAGGAAGTACCCCCTGGGGGGGAAGCCTGTGGGCTGGGAAAGGACAAATGGAAAACGGAATTAGGGGCCAGACTCTGAGGCGAGGTGATGGGGAGACACAGAAGGGGGGCAGTCCGTTTGGGGGAAGAAATTGGGGCTGGAGAGTGGGAGAGGTTGAAGTGAGTTGTGGATCACACAGGATAGGTGCTGTGTATTGTGCGTGAGTGTATGGGCGGGGGTTCTCTGGAGTTGGGGGAGTGGGGGGAGATGCAGCGGGACCAGGAAGAGACTGTGGGATGGGAATGAAGCCTGCTGAATGGAAAGGGGGAAAGGGAAATTTGGGATCAAGCCATCCCAGACCAGAGCCATCTTCCTTGTGCAGCTCTGAACTCCTCTCTGCCTCATTTCTTTAACCCCCCCGGGTCAGAGCATGCTGCTCCCTTTGCCCATGGTTTCTCCTTTCCTGGTGCAGCGGAGTTCACACTAGCCAGTGTTCTGGTAGATGGAAAGGTTGCCACTGCCCCACCTCTCCCGGGCCTCCCTCATCTTAGCCGGGTTTCCACCTTCTTCACATTTTGGCCTTCCTAGTTAGTTGGAGTCTGGTTCCTAGGTAATGCCAGCCATAGCTGAGGGCACAGGGGAGCAGGTGGCTGTGCAAAGCCGCTTGCAGGCTGTGGACAAAGGGCTGAGACGTGGAAAACCTACCAGTGCCCATTCCGGCTTTGGCCTGGCTGGGGCAGCCTTGGGTCAAGTCCTCTCTGTAGTCCTGGTTTCCACCAACATCAGGAAGGGGAGCTGCAAGAGCCATCTAGGCAGGCACCCCAGGACTGTGCCAGGTAAGGGGAACTTCCTGTCCTACCCAGGTCTCTGCATTACCAGGTGTTAAGCTTCATAAAGCCCTGCATTAGATACCTATCATCTTTTATTATATGGATGTAGCTTGAGCCAAATGGAATCTGGAAGACCCATTTGCTGCAATGAAATAATACATGTCTCAAGGCTTAATGATGTTGATCTATGGATTCTCCACTGGTTGGAATTTTTTTGCTGCATCGTTTCCCTCCATCAACATGACTGAGAGAGTTGACTGGACGTACTGTCTTGTCGAGGTTGTCTTTCCACATGTGAACATTGCTGTTCTCGGCTCCTCCCAAGCCCCTGCACTTGGACCTGTGTAAGCGAAATTAGTGCCCTTCAACACAGATGATTTGTTCATGGGGCCACACTCTTAGCACTCCTGGGCTATGCTACCCTGGACCTGGGACGCTAGGGCACCAAAACTAGGATCATTTGAATAGTTTGCTTAAAAGCCAAGAGATCAGTTAGATCTTTATTCATTCTGTAGACATTTGTTAAAGACTTTTTTAAAAAAGATTTTATCTATTTATTTGTCAGTGAGCACAAACAGCGGCAGGCAGAGGGAGAAGCAGGCTCCGCACTGAGCAGAGAGCCCGACGTGGGGCTCCATCCCTGGGATCATGACCTGAGCTGAAGGCAGATGCTTAACTGACTGAGCCACCCAGGCGCCCTTGTTAAAGACTTCTTTTTTACCAGGCACTGAGCTAGGTCTGAGAATACTAAGATGAAGAAGGTGACATGCTTCCTGCCCACAAGGGGTTTGTAGTCTACAGGGGAAGCAAGTCTGAAGGCTGAAGGGTTACAGGTACTTTAACAGATACTTCTATGAGGAAAAGGGGAGCAGAAATGAAAAAGTGGTCTCCAGGCGTCAGACGGTCAGAAAGCCTTCGGAAAGGGAGGAGACATTTGATTTGTCTTATTGAGTGTTTGCCAGATGGACAATGGAACGGGCATGCCAGGAAGAGGGAACAATGTGGGTAAAGGCACGGTGTGTTAGGGAAATGTGGGACAAACAGCTTGGTTCTCCTAGAGCAAGATGGCGAGGTGGGCAGCAGGCCGGCCTAATAGGGAGGGCTGGTGATCGGACAGGTGGAAAGGGCCAGGCTTTTAGACAATGATTCTGGTTGGGTTTTTTTTTTTTTTTTTTTTTTAATCCTTCTTGCTATTGTTGAACCAGAGTATCTAATTTCTGTTTTTTTAAGACCAGATGGAGAGAAAAAGTACTAGATTCCGACAGCCTCTCCCATCCTCTGCGATTAGCAAGGAAGTTTGCAATTTGTTGCCTTTTTAGATTTTTCCCTTCTGCCTTGAAAATAATAAGTAGGCTTGTGTTGTGCTTTTCTGCCTAGTGGGATTTGGTGTCTGGATCACAAAGCAGCCCCACAGCGCAAACGGGAGAGGGGCCGGCCTTGCTGCTATCGCTGAAGCCCCCCAGGGGTTTTGTCTGCGTGGGAGAAAGGAATGTTTTATTGTTACTGCTTTTTCCTAAACACTTTGCCACCCTCCTCCCTTCCCTGACTTTGTAAAATTATTAATCTTTTCTCCAGAGAGTCTTAAGTGAATAGAAAATGTGTGGTAATGCTTCATCGTGCAGAAGAGGTACCCTGGTTTCTCATTATGAAACAAAAGGGCTGTGTGTGAGGTTGGGCACTGGGCCTTGCCTGTCTTCTTCCCATGTTTTTGCCTTTATGTTCTTAAGTCACCTTTTCGTCTAATTGTTTGTATTTCACTTGGATCTTAGTGACTGGGGACCTGGCTCTGGTGACAGAGTGGCTGGTGGGCTAGGGAGGGCGAGGCAGGGGCAGGGAGATGTCGAGAGACACGGCAGAAGCTGGGAGCCGGGAGCCTGGTGCCGGAGTCTGGGATGGGGCCGGAGGCAAATCCACTCACCGGGATAAGCTGAGGCATCACGGGTGGTGCCGTTGAAGTGGGGGCATGTTGGAGGAGGAGGTTTGGGGGAAAGAGGAAGCCGATCAGACCTGTTGAGTGTGAGGGTTTATGGGACATGCATGTTTGGCCAGGTTTGATCATCAGGTCTGGAGCTTAGGGGAGAGGTCAAGGCTGATGAGACTGGGCTGGGCATCATGAGCCCCCGAGGTGGCACCTGAAGCCATGGGGGAGGATGAGAATGTCCGAGAAGAGGGTCTGGGAGGATTAAGGAGGATGGGCGGGGGAGGGGAGAGGCCCAGGAAGGTGGTAATGATGCCAGTGAAATGCAGCCTTCGAGGAGGCCAGCGGCAGGCCAGAGAGGTGTGCTGGGGGCCCGAAGCTCAGGCACTCCTGAGCCCAGCCTTGGGGTGCACTCAGGACACACAGAAGGGGGGGTACCTGGTGCTCTGCCAGCAGCTACCTGAGCCCTGAGTACTATGGTTGTTGGGGGGCCCAGACGGGAGCCGGGTCCTCAGAGGCTTGTAGTGGGATCTGGAGGAGGCTGACCCTTCCCCGAGCGGCCTGCCTGTGGTTGTGGGGTTAGCCCCTCTCACGACCCTTGTGTGGGCCCACAGATCTCTTCCCAAATGCATCCTTTCATTTTCCGCCCCAGCCCTCGTTAGAAGTGCCTTCCTGGGAGGGACCACATCCCTTACTGTCTCCGGCTCCTTCTCAAAATCCCGGCCAGGAAACGCTCTTCTGTAATGTTTATGCATAAACTGCCTTCGTTAAGCTTCTCTGTACCTGGGTGCCAGGCTTGGTGAGTGGGCCTTGGGGCCTGGTGGGGGCCGGGCTGAGTGTTTCCGTGGGCTGGAGGGATGTTAGGCTTTCCAAGGCTGAGAGGGGTATTAGGGCATCAGTCTCAGTCTCAGCCCTGGCTGCCTTGGTAATTGGGGCCACAGGCAGAGGGAGGGGGCCTGATGGGGGGTTCCCAGGCAGAACCCAAGGAATATGACCTGGCGGCTTCTTAGTTTCCTTTGAGAAATCCTGGTCAGTCCTGGCTTTTGGCCTGACCCCTGGTCACTTCTCATTTCCTCTCACCCAGGCCTATGATGAGCCAGTGTTTGACTCTCCTCCTCAAGCCCCGATTCTCTGCCCTATCCCACCGTGGTTTGCTTTCTTTTCAGCCACCCCTGTTCTGTAATCCATCTTCCCAGGCTCACTTCCTGTCCCTTCCTCGCCCTCTTCCTCTTGGAAACCCAGCTGCCACCTGTCCCAACATGACTGCAGTTCCTTTAGTGACTTTATCCTAGCCCCAAAGACCTTGGTCAGGTCACAAGAGGTCTCCCAAGGCAGTGAGTCCCCGGGTGAGGGTCCCCGGAATCCACCACCATGTAGACCTCAGCCACGTTCCGTCAGCCACGAGCCCCTGATGGGGTCCAGGGACCTGAGAGGCTGCGGGTGGGTCTTGGTCAGACTCAAGTGTGGGGCCTCAAAGGGCCCTCAGAAGGTGATTGTGAAGATGGACTGAGGAGTTTAAAGGAAGTCTGAGCTCTATTTGCTGCCTTGTTTGTTTGTTTGTTTTTTAAAGGTATTTTGCCTGGAATTGCCTTCAGGAGGGAGGATCTCAGAAAGGAGGAACCCCGCCCCCTTTCCTTCCAGGCTTGTAATCCCAGTATCTGGGGTCAAAGAGCCACAGTGTTGAGCATCACTGAGCAGACAGGAGGGTGCGGTGAGGGGTGACCTTGGGGCAGACGACCCTGAGGAGGGGGCAGGGCAGAGGAGGGAACTTGGGCAGGATGGCCCCCACTCTTGAGCTGCTGGGGGTGGCCTGCTCCCAGATCTTCAGTCAGGGCCTAGCAGGTGTCCTGGAGACGCCTCTGGCCTGGGGTGAGCTGGGGCCGCATGACACCATCAACAGCTCCCTGCCTCCCCCCCCGCCCCACCACCGCGACTCTCCAGTAAACCAGGGCTGGATTAAGGCAGAGGAGGGCTCCCTTACCACCAGTCTCCCTTCTTTGCTCATGCCATCACCCGCACCAGGCAGCACTCTCCCACTGCCTGTCTGACTTAGGCACCCCATGGGAGGCAGAGGTAGTCAGGCCTAACTTGGAACCTGAGTATCTCACTGGAGAAGGGAAATCCGAGTGCCAATAGGCAGTTCTGCTCGCTGGGGGCTGGCCCCCTCATCACCAAAGGTTGCCCGGGAGTTGGGTCAGTTTCTGCACATGAAGCATAAAAGCACATGACTGGAATCAGCTCTCAGGAGAGGATCGTTCTTTGCGCCGAAGAGCAAAGCTAAGGGGGGAAATGTGGCAAAAAGTGGGCAATGTGCTAATGTTCCCCTTCTCTCCATCAATCCCAGTTCAGAACACAGCAAAGACACTTTTCTAGTCGCGTAACCCACACGTGAGGGAGGGAGAGACACTCCTCACGTCTCCCCCCTGCCCGGGCAGTGATGAGATAGAGGACTGATGGAAGTTGGCCGAGAGGCTTCTGTGCCGGGGCAGATGCAGCTGTAGGTCTGGTTTGCCCCAAAGGGCTTATGTGTAGTGATCAGGGGCAGAGAACCTGTGATCTGAGATCATAACCTTTTTATTTCTTTAGATGTGAGGGTGGACTGGCTCTGAGAAAAGCTGCTTGCTCGCCAAGGCAGGCCGCCAGTGGCAGAGGACCCGAGTGAGGGAGCGGAGAGCTCAAAACCAAGCCTGCCCACTCCTGCACGGCGCAGCGACCCTCGCTGTGTCCCTTGGAGGTGAAGAGGCATGTTGTTAAAAGGAGAAAGCACATACTGTTCTGTCACTCACCTCTCCCTTCAGCCCAGATGCTCTTCTGGCCCCGCCAGGTTTAAACACGTGCACCCACGTCCTCCTCAGAGCTCTGCCCACCCTCCCCACCCCCGAGAGCCCCACCAAAATTTCAGAGGTGCCGCACTTGGGCTGGCCTGTCTGGGGTGGGGGACGGAAGAAAAACACAATCTGTGGTCGGGGTCCTCGCCCGGGGAAAGCTGGGCTCCCAGCCCTCTACCCTGGGAACGGATCTTGGCCTTAGGGAACTGCCTTTTCTCCAGACTCTCTAGCCTCCGGGGAGTGATGAAGCCAAGGGCCCTCTGGCTCTCTCTCCCCCACAGTTGTTGCTAAAAGGTTCTGAGGCCAAAGCCTTCCTCCCGGGGCAGGGGAGTTGAGCAGGGGAACTCTCTCGCTCGTAAGGAAGGCATTGCTGTGCCTTGAGTCTGCAGGCAGAGCGTGCGCCAGCTTTGATTCCCGCAAAACTGGCTCAAAGAAGCAGGAACGCCTGTGCTGGGCCCTGGCCCGAGGTCCCACCCGGGGGCTTTGGGGGCTCGTGCCGACGCCAGGAGGGCCAAGTCCTGCCTTGGTCCTGCCTTGGTCCCCGTGTGGACTGCTGGGAGAGGCCAGGGCTCCCTCTTCTGGAGTCCCCTTCTCCAAGCTCTCCCGAGGTGAGAGAGGAAAGAAGCTGCACCACCAGGTTGCAGATTTTGCCTCAGGCAACTAAATTTATTAGCAAGAAAAAATTTTTGTCAGCCCAGTGCTGACCAACAAAGTACATCGTTAATAAAGGATAACAAATCTGTCACTTAATTCATAAAACATACCTCAAGCAGTTACAACTAAAAATAAAGTTGGATTTTTGTTTAATTTAAAAGCCTCAAAAATAACAAGCAATATGTTTTTAAACATGTAGTAGACACAATTGTCCATTATACAATATACACTGTACACGAGTAGGGCTGGGGCCACAGCTGGGGTGGGATGAGGGGGAGAGGGAAGGGGTCAGGAGGTGAAGGTGTTTTTATCTGGATCCAGATTCGAGTTGAAATGCTGTGTCATTTAGAAAAGAGAATTGCTAGAATGAGGAAAAAAAAAATCCGTATGCTCTTCATTGCCCCCCAAACCCTAAACTGAAGCAGGCGTGGGGGAGGTGAGTAACGAGGACAGGAAGAAGGGAGCAATTAAATAAAACTTTAAAGCACACACAATACACAGTGTTCATCATCTGAAGTAGAGTATAAGGCAACGTTCTCCATAGAAAAAGAGGGCATCGGTGGGTAGCTTGACTTTTTAAATAGAAAGTTGGAATGTGCTGGAGGAGAGCTGTGGCAGGGCTGGGCATGTGGAGTGGAGGCAGCCCCGTGAGCCTCTCCGGGGGGAAGGGGGTGCCAGTGGTGCCCTGGGTGCAGGGTCCCAGGGCATCCGAGGTGGCTGGTGGGCTGGGGAGGGGCGGGGGAGAGAGAGAGAGAGAGAGAGAGAGATGGCACAATGCGACTCCGGCAGTGTTGGGGGAGAGGACTGGGGGGGCTCACTTTGCTCCTCGACGGAGTGAAATTCATGTTTTTCCTTTGGAAATAAGGGTTCCCACTCGTCCTGGTTTAGAACGTCTCATTGGGCACGGCCAACGTCCACGGTCTGGGCAGGCCGGGAGCTCGAGGTGAGAGGGGAGGGCCGGGGCGGAGCCGAGGGGCTTGAGAGGGAGGCGAGTAGGGGCAGCGGAGCCCCTTCCTGGGGGGACAGTCGCAGAACAGAAGGGAGGGGCCGACGGCAGCCCGGGGACCTCCTTTCCACCAGGGGCCCAGGCAGGACGCAGATGAGGGACTGTGTCTTCGGGGCCTCCTGCCTCAGTTGGCCTTACAAGTTCTTCGTGACCAGGTGGGTCTTGTAATGCTTGGTGAGATGGTCACTCCTCATGAAGCGCTTCTGACACTGGGCACACTCGAAGCGTTTGTCCCCTGGCAAGACAAGATGCACGTCATTTGGAGCCCACGTGCAGACACTGTCCCAGCCGACGAGGGAGGGGGTCACCCTGTAAAGCTGGCATCGCCATCCTGGTCTACCCACCTCCTGCTTACACATCCGCTCCCTACGGTCGACTCACGCAAAGCCTTCGGCAGTTCTCGTTTCTCTGCGCCCCCGTGTGACGTCACTTCCCCGTCTCCTCTGTTCCCATCCTCCCTCCCCTGCCTGAAGCGCCCCTACGTGGGCCCCTGTACCTGCACGAGGGCTCTTCCTGTGTAGGGAAGGCTATCACCTGCTTCCTTCTGATCTCCGTCCCTGTGACTAACCCTGGCTCCATGTCTTCCCCCTGCGAGGAAAGCCTCACTCCTCGCTGGCCCGCCCCTGCTGTTCTGAGTAGTGACTCTTTAGCCCCGGGGCGGGGGGGGCAGGATCTGCCCCCCTCCCCTGCCCCCCACCGGCCAAGGACTTTGGCTTCGGGTCGTGTGCCCCATCCCCAGGCCCAGGATGGCGGTCCCAGGACAGGGGTCTGCTCACGGACGCCCTCGCTCTAGCAGCGGTTCTCAAAGCGTGTGCTGGGGGCCGCCGGAGATTCCCGCAGCAGTGCTTGGTGGCAGACGGGTGAACGTTTTTCTATTTTATCGTTCTCTATTTGCCAGTGTGTTAAAACATGTAACTATGATATCAAGCCTGCGGGGTCAAACACATGGCACTGGACACAAATGAGTAAAAACAGTGAAACGATGTGAGGGAAGTCATTTGGTAGATACTAGCAGGAAAGGCAGTGTGGGGAAGTGATGAGTGTGGACCTGGGACAGAGCGCCTGGGTTGAACCCGGCTCCACCTGTCACTAGCTGGGTGACCCGGCCACCTCTCTAGGCCTCAGTAAAATGGGCACAATCAAAGAGCCCTCCCCACAGAGTCGTTCAGAGGATTAAATGAGTTCATGGGTAAAAAGCACTGTACGGTGCTTGGCCCTCTCCACCAGGGCTTGTTAAATAAGTAACTCTGCGGCTCTGGCGGAAGTCGTGGAGGCTGGGTCAGGGAAATGACCTCCGTTTGGGAAACACTGCAGTAAAGGACTGGCTTGAAGGGATTTCCTGGGTCGTCCTGGCCCCCCTGAGAACAGTCTGTGGCTCTTGCTCAGTGGGGCAGCTCGTCGGCAGGGCCAGGAGTCGGGATGCTGCTGAAGGCAGCAGAGGGGGTGCGGGCCCGAGGGGCCGCGGGGGCGGGCGGCAGACCTGTGTGCGTGCGGGCGTGCCGCTGCAGCTCATCGCTCCGGGTGAACCTCTTTCCACAGAAGAACCAGTTGCAGACAAAGGGCCGCTCGCCGGTGTGCAGGCGCACGTGGGCCCGCAGCAAGGACGTCTTCCGGAAAGTCTTGCCACAGTCGGGGATATGGCACACGTGCTTCTTCTTGCCCTGCTCTCCGGACCTGGGAATTGGGTTGAGGGGCAGGGACGGAGGGAGTGGGAAGCCGAGAAAGGGAGGAGGTAGAAGATGGAGGCAGGACAGGATGGAGAGAGAATGCGAGGTCAGGTCCGAGGGCACAGGAAGGGTGAGGAGGACATCCCCTTTCCATCTGTGTCCCACAGAAGGGCTGGGGGAACAGGCATGTGCCAGGCTGGTGGTCTGGACTACCCCCAGCCCCACGTTACCTCTTGTCCCCATCCTTGCAGTTGGGACACGTGCAGGCCATGCGGCGCCGCTTCTCCCCAGGCTGGGCCTCTCCAGCCAGGGCCTGCTCCATCTGCAGCTGGATCTGGGTGGGGCTCAGCCCACTGATGGTCAGGTTGTTCCCGGAGACGTTCTGCACCGTCAGCTGCTGCTGCCCTGTGGGGCAGAGGGGGGCACAGTTGAGGGTGCGGAAGCCGGATGCCCTTCTGCCCTCGATAAAGGTGGTCGTGGCGGCAGCTCCTATTTCTGTGAGGCTCTTATGTGCCACATACCGTTTTCAAGGCTTCAAATGTGTTAACTTGCTTAGCCTTCACAACTCCATAAATCAGACACCATTATCCCTCTTTTGTAGTTGAGGAACCTGAGGCTCAATAACATATCAAGGCCACAGCTAATCACTGGTAGGACCTGGATCTGAACCCAGGCAGTTGACGTCACGGTCGGTGTCCTGAGTCACTACACTGCCCACGTGACTTCAGTGGGGAAAGTTCCTGTCTTGGCTTGTCTTGGGAGTGTTTCTTTGGAAACTCCTCCAAGCTCAGGCTCTCAGGAAGGTCTCCAGGGATCGTTGGTACAAAGAATGAGAAACCAGGACAAAATCAAGTCCTCTACGACTTGCATAAAGCCATTCCCAAGCAGGGGGAGTGTCACTGACCTAACACTGGTGTCTCTCTGAGTGGATGCATCCCATGCCCCTAACCCAGACGCACAATACGTTAAGTGCTGTAAACTCATTTAAGGATGAAAAGAGGAGATTCGGAGAGCTTCCACTACCTTGAAAAGTGCTCTTCACCCAGTTAAAGAACACCCTGCTGAAGTACAAGGAACCATTTTTGCTACGTAGCTACAGTGTACCCTTGATTATGTGCAAGGCGCTTTCGCACTGTAAATACTACCAAATATAACTACCGAAACGAAGTGCAGGACAAGCCATTCCCGCTGCCAAAGGCTCTGTCCTCTCCTTCCCACCTTAACTCAAGGCTGTCTCCTTCTAGAAGCCTTCTTTCATGTCCCTTTACCTGGAACCTCCCTTGAACATCTCCCTCGTGTCTGTACCAAATTAATCTGCATGTGTATGTTAGTTGGAGTTTTCCTGAGTACATCTTATGTCTCCATCATATTCCAAGATCTTCAGCTGTCAGGTGGGGCCAACATGTGTCTTAGATGATCTCAGAGGGCAACTGTAAGGACATGCTCTTAAGCTAGAAGGGGCCAGGCAAATGATGGGCAGTGTCCTCGCTGCGGTGACTGTGAACCCCAGGCTGGCCCACAGTTCTCATGGGCGGGACAAACAGGCCCGCTGCCCACACCCTGGCTCAGGGGCCCTCCCCTCACCGCCGGTGCTGGTGATGGTGACAGGCACGCCCTGGACCTGGACACCGTTGATGCTGATGGTCTGCATGGCCTGGGCCGCGGCTGCCAGTTGCGCTGCGTTCAGGCTGATGATGCTCCCGGCGGGGGCGATCTTTGGCAGGGGGCGCTCTTTCCGGAGGATGGCGGCCGAGTGCTTTCTGCTGGTCCCACTCAGATGGGGAGCACGGGACACAGGGCTGCTACAGGTGGTGGCAGAGGGGGCTGCAGCTGTTGCTGGGGGGCCGTCCTGGACAAGGACCGTCTGCACCTCACCGGAAGGCGTACGGATGTAGACCTGGAAGGGCCGGAGGAAAAGGGTCAGTGCCCCAGGACAGACTGCGCCCCACGCCCCCACACCTTTGAATGCAGTGTCACCGCCCTCACCGCCCAGGTGAGAAGTGGGGGCGCCTCTTGGTCCACCCAAGTCTTCTCCAACTGGCCCAGACCTACGTTCACACTGCCGATGGCATCCCTGTACTAAGGTAGCAAAATGCTGATTGCTGATTGGAAACCAACACTGAATTTACTTAGCATGGAAAAATACACCGCCAGCCCTCAGAATTAGAGAACTAGAAGGCAGCGAAATGGTGACGTCAGAAAAGATGCACCGTGAAAGACCACCAAACAAATGGAAACAGCTCTTAAGAGGCACAATCGATGAGAAACAGTTGTTCCCACCTCAGATTGGCAAAGATGGAAAAATAAAATATAATGCTCACCGTTGGTGAGACAGAAGGGAGACAGGCACTTACTCTTACATCAGGAGCGGGAGTATAAGGTGGTCTAGGCTTGCCGGAGGGAAATTTGGGAGTGTGTCTCAAAAGGGCCGGCCCGGGTGTCGCCGGCCCAGCAGGCTGAGGAGCGTGTCCACGTGGAATATATTAAGGCTAAAGGAAGCTAGGTTTCTCACTGTCAGAAGAAGGTTACAAATATGGAAAGGGAGAAACTAGGATGAAGTGTGTGGCACTAGATAGGAATCAGAGGTATTGTGGCAACTCTTGGGTTTCGATATAAAGACAGAAATATAGATATAAGTGTGTGTATATCTGTAGGTGTACATGTGTGTGTCCATACCTATGTCTATATATCCAGGCATTACATGTGTGTACATATATATGTATGTATATTTATATATAGCTCTTGGCTGTGTCTACTGAGAAGGGCTGGGAGCAGCAACGCTCCAGGGGCAATGAGCTCACCCAGCACCCGGGTTTCAGCTTCTAAATATCATGCTCCACTAAAAGGGACCAGGGCTCCTTGGAGAAAAAAACGGATTCCAGGTTTGGGGGCAGGGAGAGTACAAGAAGAGACTGGAACATCTGTGGTACCAGCAAGTAAGAAGGTCCTCAAGGAACGGGGGTACCACGGGAAAAGGACACAGGAGCCAACTTGAGGGCGCTCCCACTGGCCAAACGGGGTAACTTGAACGTCAAAATCTTAACACTAATGGATTACAACCCACTGAATAAAATGGGAACCTAATAGTCCCTATTGACATAAACGAATGGAGAAGAGAATGACATATTTAAACAACCATTACTGCACTCTCCAAGAACGGTCGATCCCAGGGCTAAGAAGATGGCCCCTGTATCCATCCCCTGGCCCACTCCCACCTTTTGTTGCTTTTTTAAATCAGCTTTGAGATAGTCACGTGCTATGAAATTTACCCTTTTAAAGTGTACAGCTCAGTGGGTTTTAGTATATTCACAGAGCTGTACACTCATCCCTGCTGAGAACATTTTCATCCCCCCAAAAGAGACCCTCCACCTTTAGTAGTACCTCTAAAGTAAGGTAGTACTTACTTACTTAAGTAAGTAAGAAATACAAGGAATGAAGCACTGACACCTACCACAACAGGGGTGAACCTTGAAAACACTACTACGACGTGAAAGAAGTCAGTTGCAAAAGATCACCTACTGTCAGATTCTATTTAAACGAAATGTCCAGAATAGGCCAATTCACAGAGACAAAAAAATGGATTCGTGGTTGCCAGGGGAGTTGGGGGGAGAGGGGAAATGAAGAGGTACTACTAAAGGTAGAGGGTCTCTTTTGGGGGGATGAAAATGTTCTCAGCAGGGATGAGTGTACAGCTCTGTGAATATACTAAAACCCACTGAGCTGTACACTTTAAAAGGGTAAATTTCATAGCACGTGACTATCTCAAAGCTGATTTAAAAAAGCAACAAAAGGTGGGAGTGGGCCAGGGGATACAGGGGCCATCTTCAAAGCACTCCAAATGGCCGAAGCTGGGAACAATGTGAGCAACAAAATAAATAACATGATCCTGGCTTATAACCCAAAGTATAAAATAAATACACACGAACCCCTACTGCTATAAATAAATGATTGAGGGGCGCCTGGGTGGCTCAGTTGTTAAGCGTCTGCCTTCGGCTCAGGTCCTGATCCCGGGGTCCTGGGATCGAGCCCCGCATCGGGCTCCCTGCTCGGCGGGAAGCCTGCTTCTCCCTCTCCCGCTCCCCCTGCTTGTGTTCCCTCTCTCACTATGTCTCTCTCTGTCAAATAAATAAATAAAATCTTTAAAAAATAAATAAATAAATAATGATTGAAAAAGTAAACTGAACAAAGAAGAAAAAACTTTTCCTTATAGAAGAATTCCAAATAATATTACATAGATACTTTCTTTTCCAGGATGTACAGCTTAATTCCCACCCCCGAAGACGGGAGATTTAGCAACTTCCTTCTGAAGAACAGAGAAAGGGAAAAGTAGCAACTTCCAATGAAGAGACCTGGCCAATGTTGCCTTAATCAGCGCAAAAGGTTATCATCAGGGACAGGGCATCACCAGGATGTCATGTGGATATCACGTGCTCCTCATATAATGTGAGAGGGCCATGTCACCTCTGCAGTATTCTTTCCAAAAGCCCATAACCCCAGAGTGGGGGAAGTTCTGTAGGATATTTGACCGATACAGCTCACGACTGTCAAGATCATGGAAAACAAGGACCAAAAGCTATCACCTGAGGGTCCTGGGGAGACATGGCCACTAAGTGCAACGTGGTATGTGGACTGGATCTTGGAACAGAAAGAGGACATAAGTGGAAAAGCTGGTGGTATCCAAACCAAGTGTGAAGTTAGTTAACAGTCATGTGCCAATGTCAGTGTCTTCGTTTTGACAAGGTACCTGTATGATGTTTAACAATTGGGGAAACCAAGCGAGAGGGAAAGAGACACTATGTACTCCCTTTGCAACCTTTCTGTAAATAGGAAGTTCTTCTAAAACAAAACATTAATTTTAAGAAAACCTCTATCATAATAAAAGATACTAAAACAAGTGGGAAAAAGTCTGATGAGGAATGGGATATTTACGTAATCTCAAAGTACCTCCCTACAAAATACTAATTCGTTACAAAGAAAAAAAGGTGCAGAAATCTGGCGAACATCACTTTAATTGTCCTCAGTACTGAGACAAACTGAAATCACGCACCCCTTTTAGGGGACAGTGAGAACACAGCATCACGTCTGCGGTATTTCTGCAAAAAAAAACCCAAAGCAAACAAAAAACAAGCCACAAAAACCACACAACCCACATGTCATGAGGAAACATCACAGACACCTAAACTGAGGACCACATTCCAAATAACTGGCCTGTAGCCTTCCAAAGTGTCAAGGTCGTGAATATCAAGTAAAGACTGGGGAACGAAAGACATTAGCATGTTTCATTGCTAATTGTATTGTTGTCATGTACAATGTCCTTGCATGTAATAATGAGACACTTTCTATAAAACATTTGGAAGTGACAGGGATTATGGTGGCAACTTACACTCAAATGATCCAGGAGCAAAAAGTTATTTGTTAAAAAAAAAAAAAAAAATCCTGCTGTGATTTTGATTAGAGTTATTTTTAATTCCTGGGTTGTTTGGGATTGTTTCTCAGTTAAAAGCAAAGAAACAAACCTCATGTCATCTCTTAATGAATAGACACATCTTATCGTACCCCTTTTGCATATTATTGCTATTTCTGTGTATCTCAAATTTCTGTTACTAGAACATTTTTTGTTCATAATATAGAGCAGGGGTCAGCAGACTTTTTCTGTAAAGGGCAGACAGTAAGTATTTTAAACTCTGCAGGTCATGACGAGGTCCCTGCCTTGTAGTGCAAATGCAGCGCACACGGGCATTCCAATGTCTGCATTCCAGTTCAACTTTATTTACAAGGAAAACAGAAGCGTGGGCCAGATTTGACCCCAGGCTGTGGACTGCCCATCTCTGATACAGAATATAATACCTTTCAGAAAAATGTGCATATGCTTTGCCCCACTTTTAGGAATTCAGTTAGCTGTAAGACTGTAAACTGCCTAATCTATAGTTAAGAGAGTATTAGTTGTGTAATATACAGCACCTCAGGATATTGGAAAACTATGTCATCTTTAAGAAATAAGGTAGCTAAAACTTTCTGCATATGTATGATTATTTCCTTAGGAAGACCTGGGTTAAGCCGTGCCTCCATCAATCTCAAGATATGGGACCTCAGGGAAGGGAGGGGAGGTACCACCAAGGACGTGTGCACCTGAGCTGTCACCTCAGTTCTTCATCTGTAAGGTAGGTCTGGTAATGGAACCTCATAGGAATTCTAATAAGTAAATTAAACAGTGTAAAGAAAATCACTTGGCAATACTTAATATGCCAGGATGGAGGAGGCATTCCAGGGCAGGCCTCAGATTTTCTCCTGTGTGACTTCCATGTCCATAGCTCAATCTCAAGGGCACTCCTTCTCCACCCAGGAGAGGACACAACTCCCCACTGTCACTCTCTGTGATGCTTCTGTTCTCTCTCCAGACAACTCCAGATTATAAATTCCTCAATGGCAGGAGCTATATTCTTATATTTAAAAAGATCCTTAACAACAACAACAACAATCTTGTCCTCAATTTTAACTGTAGCACCTGCCACGCTGAGAAACAGCAAGTCAAGGTGAAAAGTGGAAAAGAGCATGGGGTTTGAAGTCAGAAACTTGAGTTGAATCCTGGCTCTTGTCATCTATGCCCCACGAGCTCTTGGATACTTCCTGAGTTCCAGGTTCTCCCATCTGCAACATGGGCATAATCTCTGGCATTTACTAGGCATACACAAACAATAAAACCACCTCACAGGGCCAAATAGATTCCAGAGTAATATGGCACCTTCATATAAGCCCCCAAAAAGAACATTCTTATTGAATTATTAACATCCCAGATGGATCTAGCCTAAGTATTCCTGCTGTCAAGCTGGGCTGTGTCTCCCTGTTTTTAAAGATTTTATTTATTTATTTGAGAGAGAGAATGAGAGAGAGAGCATGAGAGGGGGGAGGGTCAGAGGGAGAAGCAGACTCCCTGCCGAGCAGGAGCCCGATGGGGGACTCGATCCCGGGACTCCAGGATCATGACCTGAGCCGAAGGCAGTCGCTTAACCAACTGAGCCACCCAGGCGCCCCGTCTTCCTATTTTTTTCCTTGCCATTAACAATGACCAGAATTTTTCTCCTTATTCTTGCTTTAAATCAAATTCTATGGTTCTGACTGAATTTCGTTTTTCTTGCTACTGTTCTGAGTATGTAGTTCTATCAAAAAAAGTAAATTTTATTTAAAAAAACAAGTATGTATCTGCCCCCTACCCACCCTCCAAAAAAGACTCCCCAAAAAGAAGTGGACCATAATATAGGTATATAGGGACGTCTCATCTGATTTCTAAGGATGAGCTGTACATAACCCTCTGAACTGAAGAGACCCCATGTGTCGGCAGAAATGGCCACTCACTGCCCACCCCAGGCAACACGGACTCCTAGCACTCAGGTCAAACCAGGAGATGCATCAGCATCATCTTCCAAGCAAGCCAAGGGGGAACAGAGAGTCAGCCATTCAGTGCGAAGGAGAGAGAGGCAGGTGCAGAGGGTGAGTGTGGTACCTGAGTAGGCGTCGGCTCAGCCGCCTGGATCTGAAAGTTCTGGGAGGGCTTCTGGGGGACGGTGGGGAGGGTGGCAGATGCCGCCTGCACCACCCGCAGGGCCTGCTGGGGGATCTGCACCACCTGCTGCTGCTCGGCCTTGGGGGGCACCACCTGGACCTGCTGAACCACGGCGGGCTGGCCCCCACCGGGGCTCTGAACAATGAGCAGGTTGTTTCCTGCCTGGATGATGTTGTCCGCAGTGGTCTCAATCAGCACCGTCTCCACCTGCTCGGCCACAGCCACAGGGGGCTGGGAGGCAGGGAGACTCTTCTTCCTGGCTTTCTTGTTAGTCTTAGACAGTGGGGTGGGGGGGCTCTCCGTGAGGAGCTGAGTGGTGGCCCCGGAGTCGCTGGTGTTCACAAGGTTGTTGACGGGCAGAGTGAGCGTCACGTTGCCGCCCCCACCTGTCAGCTTCACCACATTGGCCCCACTCTGCACAGGGGCGGTGGTCGTACTCGACTTCTGGACGGGGGCTGGCTTGATGGGGACAGGCTTGTGACTGGATGGTGAGGGGCTGATGATGGCTTGGCTGGTGCCGGGGATGATCTGGATCTGGTTGGTGAGACTGGGCTGTACCTGGATAGTCTGGGAGTTGCTCGCCTGTATCTGAGGGACCGCCTGGTACTGGATATTGGCATTTGATCGGGTCCCTTTGTTGATCACAGTGGGGTTCTGGATAGCGAACACCAGCTGCCCCCCAGGATAGGATGCACTCAGTTGCGACCCCTGAATCTGAAGGATGTTTCCTTTGGAGGACAAGATTCCAAAGCTATTCTTGCCAGGACTGAGAGGGAGAGGGGCAGGTTTGATGGGGACAAGTTTCCGTGGTGTGGGCTGGGGGGGAGCAGGAGGGGTCACCGCAGCTTCCACGGCGGGAGGGCCAATTTTGCTACATGTTGCAGCAAGCAGGGCTAGAGGAGATGGCTGGGAATCCTGCGAGAGAACAAGCGGAGGAAAGGTGAGACATGAACCTGCTGCCCAGCCACCCTCTGCCCTTCATGGTCCTCTCCTCTTGGCAGGCTCTTCGCCACCTCTGTGGTAGGCACGGTGCCAACATCTTTCCCTTCCCTGCTGGCTCCTCTTTGAGGGAGAAAGAGTAGGCAATGTCTTTCTCAGGAAGGAACTCTCCAGGAGCCCCCATTTACAGGGTGAACGAACACCCTTACTTCCCAGCAGCCTTGTTTCTCAGGGGGTCACGGAATCACCCTCAGCTCTTAGGCAGAAGTCCACTGGCCCATCACAGGCGTTAAGGGGCCCCTGATTCCTCAGCTGAGGAAGGACTGAGGGAGGGACGGAGGGAAAGAAGAAGGGACAGGCCACAGGAAGAATAAACACTTTGGTAAGGTGGGGAGGGCTGCTCTTTCGAGGTGACAAGGATAGAACCTCTGGAGTGTAGGGACCCAGCCTCTATTTCCGTTTTATGGTCAGTGGGAAAATCCTGCTTTTCCCCCTGACCCAACTGTGCCACCTCAGGTAAGTGGCCCTGGCTTCTCAGTTCAGAAAAAGCAGACAACCGAACCTTCCCAGGGCTCATATCCCAGGGTGTTTATAGTGAGCCAGGACAGAGTCTTCAGCTGTGGTTTAATGTCAGCTTCAGCGAGTGCTTCCAGGCTGGTGCAGCCCCCAACGCTCAGAACCCGCTGCCCACTCACCTGGGTGGTGGAGGCGGCGGGCTGCAGGTAGTCGCTGGGACTGACAGCGGCAGTAGCGGCCATGCTGGTCTGTAGATCTGCTGGAAGAAAAGACGGAATAATGCACAAGATGCCCAAATGGAACCCAGGCCCACGGGCCTCAGGTACCCTTTTTGCCTCTCTTCACTGCTGCTTCTCTGAGAGGTAAACCTTTCCTTACACCTCCCCACTCAAGGTTAGCAAGCCTACATCTTGTTCGGTGGATGACCTCTGCTTTCCAATGACTTGTCCATCCCGGGCTGTGAGGGCAGCTGGTCCTGTCTCCAGCCATCATAAAGCCTGGGACAACACGAAGATACAAGACTTTGCCAAGACCAGCTTCAGTGACCTAACAGAGCTGTCTCTATGGGGTACTGCTGACTCTCTCTAGCTGGGTCGGAATCCCTATTTGGTGAGCAGGGGAGTCCCCCTCACCCCTGCAGTTCATCCTCTCGTTCTAACCCAAGCTTCTTGCTCACTCCTGCTATAGCCAGATGCCAAGTCAGCCTGGGAGAGTAGCGTCTCTCAGCCAGGATCCCTGACAAAGATACACCTGCTCCATGAGGAAGTCTTAGGTGCTTTATGCTCAGCCTTCACCACAAAAGCACCATGGCCCAGGTAATGATCTTCAGCGTATGGGTAACCGCTTTAAGTGAATTTACGCAGGCTAATAGGTATGGCTCCAAAGGCTTCACCAAGACTAGAACTAATGACTGAATATAAGAAGAAGAATGAAAATAGAGTAAATTCTATTTTCGTTAAACATGTACATATTTCTATATGTGAATACAGCAGGAAAAGTCTTTGAAAATGCTGGAATGTTGAAACCCATTATCTCTTGGTGGTAGAATTTTGCTTGACTTAAATTTTTTTCCTGTTTTTTTCTGGATTTTCTCATTTTCCCACAGTCAATATACTCTATTCTTTTTTTTTTTTTAAATAAAGAAAAATAAAGAATGTTGAGGAAGTAATGAGGGGAATTACTCTGAAATCTGATATAAGAGAAATAGAAGTAAAATGGAAATCATGAGAATTTGGGGTGGGGAGAGAATCTATGCCATCCTGTAGTTCATAAATCACGAAGGAAAAGGACACCAGGCAGTGAGACTTGCATCCTAAACCTTTGGAAGGTAGCTTTCGAGAAGTACAGAAACAAGGTTATTATTTCAGAGAAATAAACTGTGTGAGAAGCCAAAGGGCAGCTCTGGACAAAATCGTATAGGGAGATCCTGAAATATTACAGACACTGATCCTTGGCAAAATCCGAGAACACATGACCAAACAGCACACTACAATTACTGAAGGAAACAATGATCATGAGGAATAAGCACAGGGCTGTAAAAACGGAGTCATGCTGTCTCATGGGGTTTTGCCTGGATACATCAAGAGAAGAGTATACACTGTGTTTTTTTATTTCAACAAGGCGTCTGACTGACATCTTCATAATATTCTTAGAACAAGAAGGGAAAAAAACTGCAGGCAGGATGGTCTAGCCTGGGGGCTAAGCCAGATGTGCCTCCCCCTAGAAGTGCTGAGATGCACACATCCTGAGGGGTTTGCTGCTGCAGGGGCAACCGGGGTGTCTCAAACTAGGGGTGGGTCCCAGGATGAGGGTCTGCAGCTTCTCCTTGGAGGCGCGTGCTTTTTCTGCCAGAATGTTTTCCTCTTGTGTTATCACTGTGATGGGCATCTTTTAAAAACAAACATCCACTGGGTGACTGCTACCTTACCAAGCTCTGCCTGTTTTGGGGCGTGTGTGTGTGTGTTTACAGCTCTATTGGTGCCAAGTGGCACCACTCTAACTGCGTGGGCTAATTAAGACAACTTAATTCTGCACGTTTTAATTCGCGCTACATTTGTGCAAAGTGAGGGATGACGGCTCTGCACAAGACACGGCAGGGTAGGCATGCGAAACCCAAGCAGCCCGAGGTGTCAGGTTGGCCGTGCTTATGCTGACAGCAGTGATCTGGGTTCAATCAGATGTCATCCTCCCAGAATGTGGCTGGGGATGTGACTTTTACTGGCTTTTTGGTAGTTAATTAATTTTATAGGAGCTGGATCAATGAGCCGATAAACAGATTTGTGTGCATAATTAAGTAAAGTTGCAGCATTATAAATGAAAACGATCCAAGTTGACTCAAAAATATTTTTCCTTTAGAGCAGTGCTGTTCAAACTATTTAGACCATGAGCCACAGTTATAAAAACAGTTTACGTCAAGACCCAGTATGTACGCACCCACACACTTCCCTGTCCTGTGCTCATGCAGTGAGTTTCTTGAAAAAAATAATCTGCCCTTACTACGTGTGACGGACTTGGGTATTTTTCTACTCTATTTCATTTTTTTTAAAATGCTGGTTGTGACTCACTGAATTGGTTCTGTGCCCTAGAGGCTGGAAAACGTGGCTTTAGAGTAGTTGACCCACCACCCAAGTTTGGAAAACCATGCAAAGACCAAGCAGACAAGTTCAACTTGCAGATGTCACGAGACCGAGAAGGATTATAAATACACTGGCTGTCGGTATTAGGGTTCAAAGAGATCTTTACAAACTAGTATGTGCAGTGCTTTAGAGCATGAGGTCCCAAACCTCCATGAGAGTTGGAGCCGTGCTGTCATCAGTGGGGTGGCTGGGACATCCCTCTCAGGCTCACTGTGCCATCTATAGGACAGAGGGAACAGCATCCTCCTGGGATTCTGGGAGGTGTCAATAATTACTGTGGAAGCCGCGCGCACACAGTGGATAATCAATAAATAGTGTTTTAAATTTTGAAGTTGAGTACATCCTGCACTTGGGTTTAAAAAAAAAAAAAAATTCACATGCCTATAGGACGGAACAACAGAACTTCATAGTGGTCCTCCTGTGAAAAAGCCCCAGTGGGTTTGCCTCAAAGCTAAACAGGAGGCAATAGAATCTAGATGTGGTTGCCAAAAATCTACTGCAATCTTGGACTGCATTTCCAAAAGTTCAATCATAGAGGGATAAAAATAATCGTCCTAGTGTGTTCTGCAAATTCAGGCCACATCTGGAGTGTCAGGTTTCGTTCTGAGGGATATGTTGAAAGGGGCATTTTCAATGGGAGCTTGTTCAGAGGACAGCTGCAGTGGTGTGGCCAGGATGCTGGACTAGTGATACCCACCAGGGCATCCACCCCATACGTGGTTCAAAGACTTCAGGGTAGAAACGTCAAGAAGGCAGATTTTGAGGTGCCTGGCTGGCTCAGTAGGCAGAGCATGTGACTTCTGATCTCGCGGCTGTGAGTTTGAGCCCCATGCTGGATGCAGAGTTTACTTTAAGAAGGCAGACTTCAAATTAACAGAAGGGAGAACTTTCAAAAAATGGAATCAGTTGCCTTTTGAGGTAATGTTCTCCCTTTTCTGGAATCATTTAGACAAGAGGCAGGATGTGTGTCTCTGTTGGAGATGGGATGTCTAGATGGGGTGGGAACCTGGACTAAATGATATTGAAGATTTTTTAAATTCTCAGACCATGTTGCTGTTAAAAACAAGCTGAGTTACTTGAGGCCAAGGCTGGGAAGGGAAGGCAGGGGGCTCTCCCAGGAGGCTCCCCTGGACTCAGGTTCCCTTGGCTAAAATGGGTGACTGACTCTCCTGCAGACAGACATCTTCTGCTAAGGAAATGGAAGGGCACTAGAACAGGACAGAGTGCAAATGAAATGAAAACAGGCCTCGTGCTTCCTACTCATCTCCCTTTCCCATCTTCCTCTCTCCCTCTGCAGTCTTTGATACCCTGGACTCAAACAGTTTGGAGCTCGGGCTGGGCTCAGAGCGGTTCTTCAGTTAGGAAGTTAACAGCAGCATTTACTGGAGCAAGCTGCCAGAACTGCGGGGCCTGACATTGTACCATTTCAGTTTGGTTTCATTTTCCTCCCCAGCTGGCTCCTGAAATAACCCTCTAGCTTTCAAACCAGTGTTTGTAGGTATCTCTCCTAGTGTCGCTGAGCTTTGCAGCCCCTGGGCTGCAAGCTTGGGCAACCAAAACAGACTGATCTCCCTGCCATTGCAGAATTATATCCTGGGATTAACCATGAAAGGGAAAAGAGAAGCATTTCCAGTTGGGTGTTTGAAAATGAAAAGTGGTTCAGAAGTGGCGTAGATACGTAACTGCAAGACTATGATCTTTGAACCTCATTAATTGGGAACCTTGTATCTAAACGTGTAACTGGGACATAAATTGTGCTTAAATTTGTCTTCATACTATTCAAAGTGAGGCTAACTATTGTATGAAGACTGCAAAGGGACTCCTGGGCATAATCATGTAATTGTTTTATACCGCTTCTACCATTTTAATCGTACCATTTGCTTTTAACAGTTTATGTCTGGTCACTGAAACCTACATTTAGCAACACGGTAAATGGGATTTAGTGAGTATTCTTGAAAGAAAAGCTGCATTCCTTTCAGAGTTCAGTCATTCAGACTTTTCATTAGTTCAGGTTGGCTAAAACTTTCCCAACAGACCCTTGGCTGGTGAAGATTGACCGTGATTTATTACACAAACAACAGTAGCTCTCAGGCTCCATCCAAGGAAAACTTCCAGTGGCATCAAGCAAGGCTTCCAGACTGGGGGGTTGGGGGTGGGGTCTAGGGCTTGACGGCACCACCCCTGACTTTCCTCTCCCCATACTGGAAGCCAGTTTAGTTTCAACACGGCAGAAAAGGCATCCGCTGAGCCTCTGGCTTTTGATGGACAGATCAGCCATCTCCACCACCATCCCCGCCAGCGACAGCCTTTTTTTTCCTCCCTCCCTGGCCAAACTTGGTGGAAAAGCTGCCAGCACTTTACTGCTTCCCTCCTTTCTCACTTGCTAATTTCCCGGAGCAGCAGCTCTCTGTGGACACTGCTCCTGCCAAGGTCACCGAGGACCTCCTCACTGCTAGAGCCAACAGACCCTCTTCAGCAGTTCTTGACCCTTTCACTGTTTCCTCCTCCTCAAAATTCCCACGGATCTTCTCCTACCTCTCTGGCCTCCTCTTCGCCTTGTGGGCTCCTCTGCCTTTTGCCACCCTTCAATGCTACTGTTCCTCAACACCCCTCCTGCTCGCCC